CCAGAAGCTCAACATGAGCCAGCAATGTGCAATCACAGCCCAGAAGGCCAACCACATCCTGGGCTGCATCAAAAAAAGTGTGGCCAGCAGGCCACAGGAGGTGATTCTGCCCCTCTATGCCGCTCTTGTGAGACCCCACCTCTGCATCCAGCTCTGGCGTCCCCAACATCAGAAGGACATGGACCTGCTGGAGCGGGTCCAGAGGAGAGCCATGAGGATGATCCGAGGGCTGGCGCGCTTCTCCTATGAGGAGGGGCTGAGAGAGTTGGGGCTGTTCAGCCTGGAGAAGAGAAGGCGCTGGGGAGATCTTATTGCGGCCTTCCAGTACCTAAAGGGGGCCTACAAGAGAGCTGGGGAAGGAGTTTTTACTAGGGCATGTAGTGATAGGACGAGGGGGAATGGCTATAAACTGGAAGAGGGGAGGTTTAGATTGAACATTAGGAAGGAGTTTTTCACTTTGAGGGTGGTAAGGCACTGGAACAGGTTGCCCAGAGAGGTTGTTGAGGCCCCATCCCTGGAGGTGTTCAAGGCCAGGCTGGACGTGGCCTTGGGTAATTTAGTCTAGTGGGAGGTGTCCCTGCCCATGGCAGGGGGGTTGGAACTTGATGATCACCAAGGTCCCTTCCAACCTAAACCATTCTATGATTCTTCACTGCAAGCAATTCCGTTCATCTTCACTTCCAAAAATCATCAGGGATTTTCTTCCTAATCTGCACACCCCCTGCAAAAGGGAAATGACAGTACTTTTGGCTTCTAGATCTGCTGGACTCCATAGCCTGGAAGTTACACATCCACAGCACAATTCAGCCCCAGAAGTGCACCACAGGCTACAGCTGCGCCACTCTCTGAACCCGAGCAGGACCCTTGGGTTTTGCCCCAGCACTAACACCAAAAGCAGATGCCCTGCGTCCACCCGCCAGCCCCACAGATGTGCATACAGGGAAAGAACTGCTTTTTCAAAGCCAGGTCACTTCACCAGTCCCAGGTAAAAAAAAAAAAAAAAAAACACAACTTGCATTTCCCATAGCACCCGGAGTCGAGCAGCCCGTGAACCCGCCAGCATCAGCCCTCGCTGCATGTGCTGGTTTTCCAGCAGTCCACTGGGAACTCGGCAGGCAGCAATCAAAGGAGAGGTCAGCACAACGCAGCAAACCAGGCTCCCATCTGGCAGGCAGCAAATACATTTCGGTGTCTCAGCGTTCAGCTTGAAAAATCCCAGGTTCTACTTTTCGGGAAGGCATTCACCAGGAAAGCTGTGGTTCCTCCTGGGGAAACAGCTGCACACCTTACAGGGTCAGGGTGAAAAATGCTCCTGGATATTTATGAACTCCTGAAGTGCTCGCATTAACAAATGCAAAAACAATTCCCAGAAGGTAGTTGTCAGCTTTGTGTTTTATGTAACAGGAAGTATATTGTGACTAAGAGGACAGAAATAGGCTGAAGCAGCTGCCCACAGCACACTGCCTCCCTGAACAAGGCAGGACTATGCAGAAAAACAGGAGATGCAAATCTGTTATCTCCACCCTGACACATCACCAGTACCAACCCTGCTCTTTCCTAACTTAGTGTTTTTTCTCCATTGTTCTTTAAAAATAGTTTAAAGAAAAAACCAACCAAACAAACAAACTTGTTCCACGTGACATAATTCATTTGAGCTTCAGCTAAAGTACTTTTGGTGGCAGAAATGATCCTGGCTATATTTGGAACGTTGATACAAGGCGTAGATTTCTTCAGTAGTACAATTAATGTGTAAGTATAGTTAAGTATAGTTAAAGAAACTCTGAAAGCACGGGCTGTGTTTTTACCCACACGGCTAGGTTTTGTCAACAGAGATGGTTTTGGGTTTAGTTTTTTGGGGTTTTTTTTAGGGAAGGAAAGCCTGTAGAGCCACAGAAGCAAAGCCTGTAGAGCCACACACATGCAAGACTACCCATGTTCAAATTTTATTGGAAACATTCAAAAGCTCTAGTAACAAGATTACCTCACAGTACAAATATAGATTTAAATGCATAAACTAAACCAATTAAAAATATATTCATGATTACTGTACATTAGTGGAATATTACTCTTGGCTACCCACTTTGTGAATGAAATGGAATGAAAGCTGAGCTAGGAGAAACGGCTCTAGAAACTAAAGACAATCTGCCCAGGACAAGATTAGAAAGAGGTTCTTCTTTCAAACACAGGCACCCTCTAAGGAAACAAAAACAAACTGAAAGCTCTGAAGCTTTGAGGGTTTCAGTTTTCCCATGTCCGTTTACACTTTCAGTCACATGGTCACAGCGTATAATCGAGCCCAGTTAACAGAATCCTATACGTTTGGCTTGTCCTTGAATTCCAAGGAAGCACTCACAGAGTAACTGGGACTTTCACACACTAGAAAGAGCAAGGATCACCTTCCACCTCGCAAAGCTTGGCAGGGTAACTTGATACATGGACAAGCATTTGCTTACAACTAAATCCAGCTGGAAGTAACTTCACTCAGCATCCGTTGACTTATAGTGATCATCATCCACAGTGGAGTAGATGTGTCCCTCACTGCTAAGGAATTCAACTGCTTGCCTTTGAAGGGAAAAAAGAAAAAAGCAAGCAATTGCTAACTAGCTCATATTAACACCTTTCTCTCAGGGATTTCCCATTTACAGACCCCACCCCTACTGTTCCCTTCTGCCATCTGCCAAGGGAAGCTCTCGGTGGCTCTATCCTGTGAGCAGTTTAAGCGCTGCTCCACCAGTTAGTAGGTACAGAAACTTTCTCCAAAGCCATGGCAATGAGCTCCCCCAGCAGCTCTTCCACTCTGCCTGCCACAGAGGGGAAGGCAGCACTCTCGGTGCTTCCCAGGTAACAGCAGTACCCACACCTCTGCTTCAAAGGGGACAGAACACAGAAAGATAATGGACATTAATTACTGTCTATAGGCTTCACTGTTTCTCTAAGTCTCAGGGAGAAGTTATGAGATAGCAAAAGAGAAGAGAACATTCTATTCCCAAGTTTTGATTGGCGTGCAGAGAGCAAGGTAGTCCTTGAACAGGAGAAAATACTGCTGAGGCACGGCAGTACTGCCAGGCACCTGCTACTTTGCTACTGAACTGTTAGCTTGTTTTGAAAATAGGGAGCAAAGCATTTTATCACCCCTTCAACTGACAGTGGCTCAATTCTAAGCCGTTGGAAAATTTCAAAAGCTCTGGCTCACTACTGCATCCTACTGGGAACATCTGAAATTACTAGTGCTGTTGAACAAGGCAGGATCTGGGCTGGCCCACTATTTTCCTCTCTGCCTCCTTTTATCAGACTCCAGGAAGGACTGCCTGGATTTCCAAGACATCCTTTGTTTCCACACACTTACTTGATTGTTGACATGCTCATATTGTGGAGCTGAAGTTTCAACTCTTGAAGACTCATACCTTCTGGGACAGGGCAGTTTTTAATCAAGTTCAGCACCTGGAAAAACAAGAACCACCATTAGCACACAGATAAGCTTCTCTATCATCGATGGTTACCAAGGTTGAGGAAGAACTATCCGTCTTCAAAGAGTCACTGAACTTGCATTTCTTTGTCCTACAGCAAGCCACAGCAGCCTCCGCTGTGACTGCTGTGTTCCTGGAGAAGCTGCTTGCACCCACCTGGCTTTGATGTGCTGTGAGTCCGTTCACTGGTAGGCTGCCTCCTCCTCCATAGCCCCCCATGTCACCGATCCCAGCGGAGGAAAATGACTGAGGCACTTTTGATGCTGACTACAATTACGAGAGTAAAATTGCTGTGGTTACACAAGCTGCCACAAGCCCACGGCATTAAAGGCTCAGTGTTATTTCATAGAAAGAGTACTTAAAAATAGATTCCCCAAAGAAACCACTGGAAATGGACCGCAACACAATCTCTCTCCAAGGAAGCCAGGACTCCTGTTACACCTTCACTGTAGCCCTCCAACAGGTTCAAGCTTCCCAGCCCCACAACTTGTGTACAATCTCCCAAAGCCTCTCCCTTTGGAACATAACCAGTAACCCAGTTAAGGGCCAAGACAGAACCAGGATCTTCAAGTACATACCATAAGATTTTTTCTGAGGATCATATGCGCATTGACAATCTCTAGTAGGTGTGTGGTGAACTCATTCATATTTTCCAGAGGCATGATCTTAAATGCCACCAAGCTTTTCTTATTCTTTCAGAGGAAAAATAAAAATAAAGAAAAGAAAAAAAATTGACATCACAGCAACAGGAACACGCTTAACAGCCAATCCCACCATTCTCTCTAGGAACAGAGATGGTGGCAGGTAGCGAGCTTGTCTGCATGGAACTAGTCCAAAAGTCCCAAGAACCCAGTGGCCAGTACTGTTCTGCTGAAAACAACATACTGATGAGGAGCAGTATTTTAAATGGGTCCTCTGTCCTTTGCATTTAAGAACAATTAGAACAATTAGTGTTATTAAATACAGCCCTGGCAAAAACATTCAAGGATTTGTTCACAGGAAAGGATGAGTACCCGTAGATGTGGTGCCGAGGGACATGGTTTAGCGGTAACTTGGAAGTGCTAGGTTAACGGTTGGACCTGATGATCTTAAAAGTCTCTTCCAATCAAAACAATTCTACAATTCTATAAACACCACGATTAAGTGGATATTCTAAAGGGAATCCACTAACACTGTGCCAGATCACCAATCCTTCATGCCACTGCTCCAGCCTCGTGACTTGGAATCAGACACAGGTAACAATCTTACCTGGAAAGACCGAAGATGACCCGCTACTTTTACGTAAGTTCCTGGAGGTACCACAACATTCTCACCACCTGCCTCCTAACAGAGAGAAAAAGGAGAAAAGAAGGTTTTGCTGATCCACATTTCCGTTTCCCAATTATCACAATAAATGACTTAGGAAAAGAGGCTTATTGCAAGCAAACACAAACGGCATGCGTTCCTACCTCCAGTAGGAGCAGTCAGGTAAACAATTGTAAATGAAAAACAAAAAAATTTGCTCGTTTGAACACACTGTACACTTAACAGCAGTCAAAGTCACTTGTCTGTTCTGCTGTCTGTCCACTCCTCAGGGATTTTCACGGAGCAACAAGAGGAAAGAACCCTCAAATAGTAAAAAAGCAAGTGTTCAACTATGTAACTTGGCTAGGGAAACAGAAGCAGACCAGAAACTTTTCTCAAGTTATGCTAAACTTGCAGTTAAGCCAACTGAATGTCTACCTAATTACTTTCCCAAAGTTGTTCAACTGAACTCAAGTGTTTGCCTTCAAATACATGTTAAAATAACATGCGTGAGCTTTAAAGGCCTACTAGACCAGCAGTGACAATTACCAGCACTTCAGCAGGCACGCATCAGAAAACAAAACGTATTCATCAGTACGTGTCTTTCCCTCAATCACTGAGCCGCGTAAAAAAAATCTCTGTTCACTCCCTCTCCTCGTATTTCTACTCGAAGATACTGAGCACACACCTCTCAGCTCAGCAGCTAAACTCTAAAAAAATTATCCAAAGTGATTCAATGGGGAACCACATATGAATTACAAAGCAGGAAGAGAGTCATGTACAGCACTGGTGATCTCTGCTACAGCAGCATCTCCCTTAGCTTTCAGAAGCATGTTATTCCTAAAAGACTTTCCAGAACAGCCACATCTTTCAGATAGCTTTTCTCCCTTCACGGCTCCCAAAGCCTTCACAGAAGCGCATTCATAAGGAATCTGGTGCTTACGTCAGTATCGACCCACTGCCTAACATCCATCGGGGCTGCCGTCATGTCGTCCACTTTGTAGAGGATGTTTGTCGGTGCTTTCTCAGCGTGCCGAACGATGCCCATGATGGTGACCTGCGCGGGGAGAGGGCAGAGTTCACCCGGGGGGACGGGGACCCGCCGCCTTCCCGCTGGCTGCCTTCCCCTGCGCCCACCTGGGAGATCTCCACGTCGCGGATGCGGAAGGTCTCGTCGACCTGCTCGGCTGCCAGCAGCTGCGATACGGTGCAGGGCACGATGTTCTGGGAGCGGATCCTCTGCAAGGGGCGGCGGGGCCGCCAGCGGGGCTGTCAGAGCCGCCAGGCCGCGCCC